AGATAATTTTATTATTGTTCGATGCAATTTGTCGTACACCTTTTTGTTATTGTTGTTGTTATCATTGGTACTTTCTTTTATAAAAGAAAAAAAAAGAAAGAAAAAAAAGAACAAAAAAAAGTAAGCAAGTATTAGAATAAAAAATATTTATAATATATAGAAGAATAAGAATTGAGCAAAAGTTTCGAAGTTGTTGTTGTTTACTTTCTTTTTTGTAAAAAAGAATAAAAATGAACGATGAAATGAAACCAAGTAGTAAAAAATTTCAATAAACGCAATAAAATAGTCGCATCATTTGGATGCGACATTTTCTTTGCTATTCAACAAAACGAGGTAAGCAAGATTGAGATAGGACTCTGGGAGTGGCTTGCTGAGATAAGGAGGTAATATTACTGTTTACGATACGGTAGCTAGGTGTCTCTCGATCTTCACAGAGCAAGACCGATCTCTCTCGAGCCATTCCGTAGGATGATGATAGAAGCGAGATATTATCTTTGATCGATACTCCTGACTTGGTCTAGTCTTTTAGATTTATCAAGATCACATCTTTTCCGATTTCTTTTTCTATTATTTCATCAAAAGAAAATATTAATCCCGGGGACGTGCAAGGATTTTTTTCTCTCTTTTTTTTTCTCACTCCCTTTTTCTTTTTTTCAATATTGAGCCGAATGAAAGAGAATTTTTTCTTTTTTTGTAACTATATACATACGTATGTGTCCGTGTGTGTGTGTGTATATAATTGCATATAGATAAACGAAATAAAATGATCAAACATATATTCTAAAAAAATCTTCCTTTTTATTTATTTAAATAATGATTAATTCTCTATATATTGGTATGACACTGAAAGAATATATATAAAAATATTTTCAAGAAATATACATATATATATATATATGTTTAAGAAATACATATATACATACATATATACATACATACACACATATCTAATTCTATATAAAGTAAGATCGTAAGTTTCTAAATTGCCAACTCGTGTTTACAGATTTATATCCACGCACACGTGAATGCACGAGAAGAGAGAGAGAGAGAGAGGCAGAGGGAAATTTAAACAGGACCTTTGAAACTCGTTGCACACACTGATGCCCGACATGACGAATTAGAATCTGCTTCTATTACGAAACGTGAGTGTATGTATATGGTATCTACATGGATATCTAACAGCAAGGAAGGTCAACCACGACAAAGAGAAATGTAAGTGGATAAGCAAGGGATAAACTTTAATGTCTCACCATACACGTTGTGCTTCTCTTATCGCCGGATTTACTGTTCATCGATGGCTCGATCTGTATTTATCGTTGTTGAACGTGAACTCTCTACGATTTGCCATCTCCCTACCCTAATATACTAATTCTTCACTTCCCTCTGATTCTTCCTTTTTTTCTTTCTCTTTTATTTCGTTTTTTAGTATCTATTTTTTTTATTGTATACTCATCGATAATTCAACAGACTATTGGTTTATATATATATATATATATATATATATATACACGAAGATATAATTTTCTTGAGATATTGATCCATTCTATTTTCATCTTATTTTTCTTTTTTAACCTTTCTTTCGATTCATTTTCTTCACTTTTCTTTTCCTCTCTTTTTTACTGTTTTCTCTTTTTCTCTTTCTTTTCTTTTTTTTTTTTGTTTAATTTTTGCTCTTCCACAATATTACTCATTAACATTTAGGCATATTTGAATTATGAATCGCGAAATTAACTTTAGCATTCGACAAATCAAATGGTTTTTTAAATATCTTTTATTTTGGCTCTGTTTCTTTTTTGCTCTATTTATTTTATTACTTTTTTCTTCATGAAATTTTCTATTTAGCCTGTATTTATCTTTTTCGTTTTCAATCTCCTTCGTTCAAGATGATGATACTATTGAATAATTATAATTAACTCGCTAGAGGCTATTAATTTTTACTAAAACTTTTTCCTATTCATTTCATTTTTTATTTATTTATCTCACTAATTTTTTTCTTTCTTTCTTTCTTTCTGTCTTTCTTTCTTTCAACACAGACTCTACTATTGGTTTTTTTTTATCTTTTTTATATTCGACAACATCGAATTTTATAATATTTTGTTTTCCTTTCACTCGTTTTCTTTCCTTGTTCTCTTCTCTGTTTTTTCTCTTTTCTCTCTCTCTCTCTCTCTTTCTCTCTCTGCTTCCTCTTCATTCGTATTTATTTTTTTATTCTCACTTTCCCCAAAGACGAGATCCTTGATCGTAAAAAATTTAGGAATAATTCAGGAGAAACGAGGGATCAAATTCATTGAGCCATTTCTGTTACGAACGTATATAATGTTGTTTTTTTCCTTTTTCTTTTTTTTCTCTTTTTTTCTCTGCAAAATTTGTTTCGTCGCATTTTCGATCGTATTTCTCTGGTTGCTTTCTATTTTTTTTTAAATTTCTATTTCATTCATCTCGCAATGAGACTCTTCTGGCGTACTTACCAATAACTCAACAGGCGTTACATCAATAACCA